TGATCCATGACTCAACATTTTGCAGAAGTCTTCTCTATATTTAAGCAAAATTCTTGATAGTCATCAGTGGTCTGTTTACTATTTAAAATGCAAAAAAGTTGCAATAATTATACAATCAGAAAAAATAAAATAATAATAATATGTCATTGGTTGTTACTTATGCACATTTCAAGTCTCTCGCACTCCCTTAAGCGCGGATCTTTTTATGGCAAATTTATCTTAAATTTCTATTTTTTTATTTTATTCTATTTAAATCTGATTTTAATATTTTGATTTCTTTTCGAATTTTAAAGGAATTTAAAATTCCATGAGCTTAATATAAATAATACCTTCAATTAAATGCTTTTTTTTTTAAAAAATATGTGAGTTAAAATACGCAAACGTTCCTTTCCAGGAAAACATGCTCACATGTACATACGCATACAATGTTTGGCGCGCAACACTGTAATCCGACCGTAAATATTTTTATTCCAAAAACATGCCATTATCACTGGTGCTCGTCGTTAAAGCATCACTCGCTTTATTTTTGCGAGAATTTACGGCGGCCGTTAAATTTTAAATTTCATACCTCGCTGCCGTGGCAACTGACGGACACAAAATTTTATATTTTTAAAAAAAAAATCATGGCAATAATAAATTCGAACCGGAGCGAAAAATCTGACGAGAGAGAGAGAGAGAGAGAGGAAACAGCGATGAGTGAGAGAGGGGTGTTCAAAAATAAAATGGAAAACACGGACCACAACACGATTTAACCTCTGCGTGTGCGTCCGACTAAATAGTGACTTTTTCCATTTCAATTTCGGCGTGCAGCGAAGCCTTTCAAGAGCGGACAAAGTTGCTCGTCGAATCAATTGTTCGCGCCGCTCAAGGTGAAAGGCCGAGTCAAATGCCAAGGTAGGCACCGTGTGCGAACGCACCAGTACTTATAATGCTGCGCAGACCATGGTGAGCGAACACACAATTTGAATAATGGCCAATCCATCACGCCTAATTCATCTTCGCTTCAGACGTTCTCTCATCCAGATCGAAATTTATCGACGTGGAAATAGGTGCTTAGCATTGTTTGCGAGAGAGAGCAGGAGATGTGCACACCTCGGGCGCCACTTTTTGTTGTGGCCGAAAAAAAAACACCGAGTAATGATGAGCATGTCTTTGCATAAAAAAGCAACAACATATCAGAACACTCCTGCATTATTTTGAGGCTTTTGAATTAGCTTCTCTTATAAAACGGTTTCTAGAATGTAAAAATAATATGAAGAATTATAGAAATAAGGTTGAATAAATATTACAGGTAAAATTTCAAATATTTAAATAGATTAAATTTGCAACTTTGTTTGGTTGATTTATTGTAGTGTCTCAATGTTGTTTTAAATTATTTAATTTAATATAAAATTGGCCGATTTTTATTGAAAATTAAATTTAAGCTATTATTAAGAAATTCCAAAATGTAATCTTTTTGTATTTTTAAAAAATCCAGCAGGAAAATCTTTTGTGGCAATAATCAGTGCATTCAAATATCGTTTCAGATTCCAATCGATTCACGCTTTATCAATTTCCATCTCCTTTCCGCAGCCTCATTTCGATTCAACCAATCGCAGTGGCAGCAAATATGTATCTAATGGTGCGCTCTCGCAATTTCCATTTACGGTGGTATAAAATAATGACGTGAAAGATTCTCGATCCGATTGCATTATTCCGTGCCGCCGAGACTGTTACACGGCGCGGATACAAAATGTATAATAGAAAAGCAAAGTGGCGAGTTTCTCAGCTCCGCGGAGATTACAAATCTCCGCGCGCGAACCAGATTCTATAATTGAATTTAGTTTTGTCATTATTTATAATGAATGTCTTTGGCAAAGAAAGACAGAGAGAAATGCTGTCCGATTCAATTACTCTTTCCCGCTCTTTGTCCTTTGCATAATTCACAACGGCCGATTGTATTAAAATCTTCTTCCACACAGAAAGGCTTGTGCGAGCGCAATTGAAAAGGCCTTGGAATTAATACTATACGGAGGCTAATTAGGCGTAACATCCTTGTATTATAAGAGCGCTTAGAAAGTGACTAATTCGCTTCTTCTTTTTTTCTGCGCATCTTCCTGGCAAGTAGAACTTACAAAACGGCATTGGGATTTAAATTTGAAAGTGAGATAATTTGCTATCCACAGCAGCCACTTCTCTCCTTTTTAAGCAGCAATAAATCAAGCTAGAGAAGGAAAAGGTGAAGCGACCGCGATCTCCTCCTTGGAAAGAGGAAGAGTCGAGTCCGAAAATTGCGACTTATCAAATGAGTCATCAGCAGTAAACAACTTAATGAGCCACAAGGCAGCATAAATTTGCAGAGATGGATTGATTACTTTGTGCAAAAACAAAACGTCAAACATTACTTAAGCTTATATGATTAACGCTGAGATGATTAAGAAAATTTAAACACATGTAACGGGGAAGCAATTTGAAAACTAGAAATAATCAGTATTATAAGATTATAATTCTTTGTATAATAGTTAAGTTCTTCAAATGTCAAATAACTGAACAGAATGTTCCTAAACTTTCATATAAGGTTACATAACTTTTCAGTGTACAATTTTCAAACTAAAATGTAACCATCTGATTGGTTTCAAAGCAAATATTTGAATTAAGTAACATCTGCGCTCATATTTACAGATTTATTTTGCAGACAGCCTTGCAAAGTTTTAAACGACTTAATTTTTCCAGCTCGTTTTGCTCAAGAACATAGCAATTATAAAAAATAAAAAAGGCCTGGGTAATTAAAAAGTAATTAAGCTTGGTAATCAGCCAGAAAATTTTCTACCTTATCACACGAACGTCATTCTTGTTGTGATAAAGCATAAAATGGGACGAATTTCTTGATTTTTGTCTACATTTTTTCCCTCGGCGAAAAATTCAGAGCGGCCGCTGCTGAATATTAATAAGCCCGCTCGGGTCTGCCCTTTTGCGCCACTGATCAAAACGACAGACACATCAAAGGCCGCTTCGCCGGAAAGTAATATGTATTAGTATCATAGCAACAGGAAAGCCGTGACGAGCCGGCTGGGGTCTTTGGCTTTTTCGCTGCGAGCGACAGCGTTTATTTGTCATAAATCCAAATGCGCTGCAGCAGATAAATTACAACATCACTGTCTAAGAATTTAAATGCCACTCTTTCCTGCTTTCGTTTTTTTTTCTACATCTTTCCTTGCTCGGCAATAAAGCGGGCGGGCGGCACATGTGGCTCCAATCGATAAGCCAATCACGTTTTCCATCTTTCCATGCAGAGCTCTCCCGATCCATATAGCCGCAGTCGACGCTCAACAGCCAATTTTTCCGCCAATTAGAGCCTGAAATGGTGCCGGCTGCCGGAAAATCCGACGCTCTTTTCGACGGCCTGCGAGCGCTCTATTTTCGTATCAAACTTGTGCGTATATGAAGTGCGCCTTATTCGATTTGGGCCCGGCCTCTCGATGCGAGGAGAGATCCACTTGAAGCGACTGGAAGTTTTATTGAGTCTCAAGTGAAGGGTGGAAAGTTTTTTCAGTTCGATTCACATTTCAATCAATTCTCGTTCTATTAAATTAGAAAATAAACCGCACCATTTTATATTAAATTATGTTTAAAGGGGTTTTTATACATAATGTATTTTTCACCATTCATAAAGGATAATTTTTCTTTTTTGTAATTCATACGATTCATTAAATATTTCTTTATTTTTGCATTGGTGAAAGACTGAAAGCATTTTTGACCAATAATCTATAAAATAAAAATTCTTCATAATTTTATGAAAAAAAAAGCTAATTATATACCAATTTTTCAGGAATGTTTGTTGAACAGATAGATAAATTTTTGACTATCTTAAATCACAACAAAGAAGCCGGAATTCAATTTCTCAGGGCTCATTAAACTCATCCGCGAGATTTGATCTCAAATCAGTGGGCTGATATAAAAAGCAATCAATCAGAAACTCGAGCACCTGCACTCGTCTCCTCTCCCCGGCCAAACAACTTTTGCAGCCGCAGTCGAAATTAGCGGTTTAAAAGGGCCCTTGAGCTTGACGGTATCGGCGAACGAATTAATGATTCGCGTACGCGACGCGCGAAGGAAGCGAATGAGCTCGCGATCGGGGTCAGCGAGGGGTGCCGCCGCCGCCTCTAACAAAAGAGAAGTTAGTTACCAACCACTCTGGGCGGCAGGCGTGCACAACCATCATCATAATTGAGGTCACTCACTCGCTGCTCTGCGATGTACATTTTCGTTTAGCGCCTTCAATATGGTGCGGCATCTTCTTGTCGTATTATTAATGCCCTACTTACGCCCAGCAAACGAACCCTGGCTCGTTTTATGTGTGTTGTAAGGCTGCTTCTTTGCAGAGAGAGATGCTCTAGCTCTTTTTATGTGTGTCGATGCATGTGTAAGGCCTGATGATGATGGCGTTTCGGATTTGTTGGACGCGATTTATATGTAGTTTCGTTCATTAATTTACGAGCGAGTGGAACCTGTTTTTTGCGAGACGGAGCACAAGCAGGCTGGCTGCTGCCACTGCTGGGCTCAACAGCTCTAAATTCGCGTGTAATCCACACAAGTGGTCTGGTATCAAAAACGTTTAAAAGTGAAAATTGTGAGAGCTTTGTTTTGAGTGGTTAAGATTTAATTAAATCTTCTTCTAATTTATACAATTAGTAAAGCGCTAATTTGAAAATTGCTTACAATGCTCTCAAATTTTAATTAAATTTATTAATTTAATCCTTGGTTATAGATTTATCCATGTAAAAATTATGCCCCCTAAAGAAATAGAATCTTCGATTTTCTAACACCAAACGTAGACTGAAATATTAGCGATAATTTTCGCCGCCAATTTAGCAGCGAATTTTGTTTAAAAAAGCAGACAATGATATAAAAACGTTGAAAAGACTAATGGATGCAAAAAATTTAAAATTCAAATCCAAATATACATCAACAGATGGCGTTAGTACTTTGCTGTCTCCAAAAGATTTATCTTTTGTACTCACCTAACATAGACGATGGTATTGTTGACGAGCAGCCGCCGCCAGCCGTAGGGCACAGCAATGTCTGTCCGCGTCTGCTTGGGCTGCGGCGGGTGCTGCGGCTGCATCTGCTGTTGTTGTTGCGGCTGCTGCTGGTTTAACATCACATTATTATTCGCACCACCGACACTGGCGCCACCAACGGGTGCGTTCTGCAGTCTCTGCTGCGGTTGCGGTTGCATACATGTCAAGGGGCTGCTGGTCACCGGGACGTTAGGCGGGTACGACGGGAGCGCCGAACTTGAGTTCACCGGCACCAACACAAAGTTGTTGTTGTTGTTGTTCTGCGAAGAAGAAGAGGTGGGGATGGTGGCGGGACCGACACCATACGTGTGGGGGAAGTTGTTGTCGACGCCGCTGTCGGTGCTGCTGCAACTCGACTCAACTGACCTGGCTGAGTCGCAACGGGAGGTCGAACGCACCGAGCTGGAGGTTGACGGCGACGACGAGTTGGAGGAGAAGTAGCCGGACGAGGTGCTGAGGGCGCCGCCCGGAGGAGAGTTGGCCGAATTGGCCACCGTGTAGCTGCACGCTGGGCCACTGAAGTCACCACCGCCGGATTCCAGAGTCTTGTTTGCTTCTTCGTAAATGTTGCCTGAGTAAAATGGCTGAAACAGATCAAGAAATTCTTTGTTAAAATCTCAACCAAAATGAATTTGTCAATTTCAAATAAATTTTGGAAAATGTGGAACATTTGGAATGATCTGCTGGAGGAGGGACGCTCAAGAGCATAAAATTCTGTTAAATCTAAAAAAAACCCTCTGGTTTTTCATTAAAATCCAACATATTCTCCTAAGCTGACCTCAATATAACCATCAGATCCACCTCATTTTATCTTTTCCAGTAATTAAACAATTAGATCAAGAATAGTAAATATCATCCCTTAATTGATTCCCTAATAAAATTTATGATGTTGCTGCAAAAATCTTAAAATTTTATGAATGATTATCTTTGTAATGGTAGAGAGCAACACTGTTAGAAATTTGAATATCTTTCAATGCCATTTAAAAAATAAAAACTCACCTGGAAGAGGTTCAGTTTAGAGTTGTTATTGTATATCGAGGGGTAATTGGGCTGTTTCTGCTTCTCCACGGGCTGCTGCTGGCCCTGATATGGTGCGGGATTGTAGTTGGCCACCGACGTGTGGTGGTAGTCGTAGTGATTGGGCTGGGGTTGGTGTTCCCCATAGTGATTCTGGTTTTGGTGGGGCCCACCATAGTGGGAGGCCCCGTTTTGCTGCTGATTGGGCACGTAGAAGACTACGGGGTTGTTTGCGGGGTTCTGGTGATGCAGAGGATGGTGTTGGTGGTGGTGACCACCAAGGGATTGGTGGTGGTGATGGCTAAGGTGGGCATCGTGCTGCTTAGCAGTCTGGTGCATGGCCGCGGCGGGCGAGGGGCCGTTGGCCGTTGCCTTGCTGCAACAGGGGTAGGCGGAGAGCGAGTCCATTTCCGTGTGTCGCGTTGCTCCACGACCTGAGGGTGAACATTTCCAGGGTGACGCACCACGAGCACTCAACGCGAGGTCACTGCTGATCACCTGTTTGTGCACATCCTGCCAACAAGAGAAAGGAAGAAATTGGTTAAAAACAGTCAAAATCAAGTTAAATTCAATATTTGATAGTTTTTGGACGTTTTGCTCAAGAAGTATGTTTTGTTTCCTATTTTTTAATTATATCTAACAAAAGAATATCCTTAATCCTGAATAATAGATTTTTGAACTACTTTCAAAATCTTATAAATAAGATTTTAATTCATCAATTTGAAATAAGAAGTATTCTCATGACTTATTTGGAAGGAACAACCTTCCCCGCTGTTAGCATTTGAACCTTTGAGGAGAGTCAGTTTCTGAGTTGAGAACTGAGGAGAAAAAACTTGCTAATTTGAAAAAATTTAATAGGAACCTGGAAAAAATAAGCATGTTAACAGTTTATTTTACATTGTGATGACGTCGGTCAAGAAATTTTTGTTTTCTTTCAAATTCATGACCTTTAATTGTTTTTCTTTTTCTTTTTTTTTGTGTAAAAAAATTATCTTTGATGCAGCATAATGTTCTACTTGAAAGTGGAAACTGAACGTTTCAACGTGCCTAATGAAGTATTCATTCCACACGTTCGCTTAATTCGCCTGGAGACAAATTGAGTGTGGGCTTCAGATTTCTAATCGGCAAACACTGCGCGCCAATCGATCCGACCACGCTGATGGCGTTGAACGATCGTTGTGCGCTAAGCTTGCGCAATCACACTCGCACGAAGCCAATTAACTACTGAATTATAGGAAGTGAACGCTGCCGAGCGGCATTAAAATATAAATGCAATTCTATTTGCGTGAAGAAACGAGAGAAATTTCTTACACTAAGCGTTTTTCTACATGCATCTTATGTTTCCAAGCCGATGAATATTAAACCCATAAAACACAGCCCAGAGAGCGACGAGAAGAGCGAGCGTTTGGCGTTTTATTATGCTTTACAATTCAATAATAGTCGGACGCTAAATGCAGCGCAGCCAACTCAAGTTTATGCATTTCAATAAATAAATCGCGCCCGCCGAGAGTTGAAACGGGGGTTTTAATTTTATTTTTCCCATTAACCCTGGCACGTATAACTCTTTTCTCACAACAATGCACGTTGGAACATTACTTTTTACGGCTGCACAGCTGAGGAATAAAAACGAAATTTAAACGTGTTGATCGCTTTGGTGAAATACAACAAAAGATAAAAGCAAATATTTGAATTTAAACATAAATTAAAAAAATGTCTGATATCATTTAAAAGGTTTCAAATAAGTTTTGCTCCAATTTAAAATCTATGTTCTAGATAATTAATTAATTAATAAAAAATGCTTCATTCTTTTAAATATCTTTTAAAGCTAAGAAAATCGCAGATGGGCCCAATCATTGCAAATTTAATATAAAAATGTGTCTCATCATATATGTATATTTTATCAAAGTATTGCCCTAAAATATTATTGTCAATTTAAGCTAAAATAATTCTTTTTTTTAGCGATTGGAGTGATATAGTCAATTCCATGAAATTTTCATTAATTTCAGTCTAGCAGATTTCGAGAGTTAAAAAGTATTTCATAAAATGCTAATAAAAAATCATGGCTTTCTTTACATTGAGTTTTCATGATTTCAACATTAATCACAAGCTACCTTGTTGTCTCTACTGAATTGAACTTTTTAAATAAAACCGAAATGGACATACAAAATCACTCTGACCAATTTTAAGCTGATTTTGTCAAATTTAAAAGCTAACATTAGTTTTTATTTTTTTCTTAATTAAAAATATCAATTGAAAAATATAATATTTAATATTTAGGGAAATTTCGATATTTCAAAATGAAACTGATGTTTGGCAGAAACAGGAAGCTATAAAATTTTCGTCGTTTGGAATTGGCAACGACGTAGGTAACGAGGTCATTTTGCGTCGATTCGCCGTGTGGTGTCATGTTTTTGTTTGGAAGACCGACAACATCCCATCGCGAAGCGAGCCGCTGCGGTTGGTGTATTGTTTTGTTTGCGCCGGATGGGTTTTGCATCACGAAGTCACTCGTTGGTGTTTGATCTATTATTGCTCTCAAATGCAAAGCCGCTTGCTTCTTCTGCGGTCTAATTATCCGCGCGCATGTGGCCGGCGAATAAAAATAATTACGCCGCTTGTTTGGCGCGCGCTCACATAACATAAACTCATGAGAATTACATCGCCATACACGCGATTTATCAGCGCCGACCGCGCGCATTAGGTCAAAATGATGGAGCACTGCATGGACCGCTTTGGGTCACGGAACATAAACATTACCGCAAGGCTTATTATATTCCACGAATATATTTTATTAGACAAAAAGTGTAGTGAAAAAATGCCCACTTTGATAACAAAAAAATAAATATTTAAAAATAGAGACATGCTTTTTAACAAGTTAAAAAAGGATTGCGATTGATTTACTTCCTTTTGGTACAAGACGTTTGATTTTTCCCCCAAATTTCAATGATATAAAAAAATGATCTCTAAATAAATTTAAATCCCAAATTACTTAAAGTATCAAGTAATTAAAAATTGTTATAAATATTAATTATTCTTTTTTTTATTAAAAATTTTGGTTTTTCAAACTTTAAAAATCAAATAGTCACTTTCATATTTCAATTACGGCGCTGTTAAATTATACAACATAATTATAGCTCGATTTTCTATTTGATACTTTTGGCACCAAGTGAACGACCCAGCTGTGCAGAAAGCATTTTGGCTCTGGAGATGGCTTTAATATGTGTTTCAGCGAGTGCTTTATTTCCTCCACTTTTAACACGCACTCGCGCCAAAACGACGCGGGTTTGTTTGGCCCGCATATCACGCGGCGGTGGCGGCCAATTTCTGCCGAAATTTGCGCGTCGAGAGAGTGCTAAATTGGCCAGCTAATAAAAATTTAGCACCGCACTGCCTCATTTTTATTATCTCGTGCTAGAGCAATTTATAATTTGCAACGAAGAACGCTCAAGTTTCGCGAGCAGGATGTGATTTGCTTTTGCTCCGCACGAATTGATAATTTTGGAGTCAATTATACGACTTGGTAAAAAAATTTACTGGTAAAATTTATTGCTCAAATGAAATTAATTATTTCATATTGAAATTCGCACTATTTGCTGCTAATAGATAAATTAATTATATATTAATTTCTAGAAATGATTTTGCATTAAATTATATAATTACTCGAAACTGTTTACGCTTATTAAAATTATATGTGGATGTAATTACTTTTGATAGAATATTGTTTTACAACATAGCTCTTTTTTTAATAAAATGTTTAAATTAATGGAAGAGAGGAAAATACTTTTTTAATAATTAAATTTAGAACAAAATTTTGTTTAATGAGTTTTTTTAATTTAATTATAAATAATACTTATGATAATCTTGAAAGACGCATAAATAACCATTTTCCATTGAATCAATAATGAAATTAATTTAAATTACAATTGAACATTTTGTCGTTTTTTTCTTCAATCTGGAAACATCAAACCCAGACATTTCAAGACCTCAGTGAATAAAAAGCAAAAAATGTGCATATTAATTCCGTCTTGGCAGCCAAGATCACGTCTCCTGTGTGCGAAACTTTCGTTTCTCAAGTGAAGGTGCACGACGTTTATTAATGTGAATCCATATCATGCAAAAAATTATCTCTGGCGGGCAGGTTTGGCGTCATTATTAAAAGAGCGCAATAATGATTCAAGCAAGAATATCTCAGCCGGGGAAAAAAGCGCACACGGTGCTTTGCAATTTATGCATTATTAATGCGCCGCACCTTTTCCCATTTGGTGTACTTGTTGTTCACATTATATTATACAGACCGCGTGTGTATAAAATAAAAGCTCACTCGCCACACGGAGCTGTCTCTGAATTCAGAGACGCGCAAAATGAAATATTTATATACGCGAACAACCGACAGCAGTCTCGGCAGACAAAATAAAAAGTAACGTGTGTGCAGTGTTGCTGCGGCGATTTTATCAAGCGAGGGACATCGCGACTGCATCGGCAGACAAGCACGTTATATGTGAATATATGTGGTGCGCACAATGAGTGCATTATTTTTCAGCTCGATTCGCAGTCGCGCTCGGAAAAGAAGATAATTTATTGCCATACGTTGGGCGCCTTTCAAATCAGCAAACAACGCAGGTGCTTTTGCGACGTAATTTTATGCAAATGGAATGGCCGAGATTTCATTTAATTAAAAACAGAAATTGAAAATGAATGATATTGATTTGTTTTGCACAATCGATTTTTTCAGCAAAAATAAATCAATAATATGTTAAATGATAAATATAAAATTAATAATAAGAAATTATTTTACTTCTGAAAACCAATTTTGGTAAGGCATTTTTTCCATATCATCATGTTAACTATAATTATATTATGAATTATGGTAAGAAAATGAAAATATAGTCAATCTTTATTTCATAAATTTTAAGTTAAGTTATTCTTTCATAACGGTCTTGTTTTTTAGCATAGAACACAATTAATATAATAATAAAATGCTGTTTGAAATATGTATTTAAAAAAAACTATTTTTCCTTAAAAAAAATTCCTTCAAAAATAATAAATAGATAGCTGCTCTGGTTGAAAATAAAGTAAAGCGTAAAAAAGTTTAATTGTTAAACTAAAATTTTCACTGAATTTCCCAAATCATTTATTAAACTGTAACTATATATAACTTTTCTATTATTTGATGGACTGCAGTGCATGATCAAAATCACGTAGGCCAAAATCGCTGGAAACCAGAAATAATCGGTGGCCATTCATACTATATTGTCCGGTCAAACAGTTTTGAATCTTTGTTTTCTTTTATCTGTCTCTTTTCACTGTTCAGCGGCTTTTGTATTATTTCGGTTGCGCGGGCGTTTGGGCGGCGAGGGATGCGTGACGAATTTGGCAACACATGCGCAGGAAATCGTATAATTGGCGCGCAGCTAGACACCCTGCACCTTTTCACCTTTCATGGACCACATACGGGGCTCGTAACACCCTCTACTCACCCGCTGACTTCAGCCTTCTGCCCAGCGAACAGGAAAAGGGCGACGGGTTTCCTTTTAGAGAGGCGCAAAGAATGCAAAATTTGAACAATAATTATTATATTATTGATTGATTTAATTAATTTTTGTCTTTTTCAACTCTGCTTCAACTCATGAATGATAAATTTGATGTTCTTATTTACAAAATTCAGTGCAACTTTCAATTTTTTATAGAAATTTATTACAACAATAAACAAAATTGCCTGATGCAAATGGTCGTGTAAATCCCTCTTGCCATCTGGCCTCATTTTTTTAATTCGCAGGAAACGGCACAAACTAATGAAAGGCGCTTTGTGGGAATTAAATTCAACAATATTTCAGATGAGATAATTCAATAGCGCCTCTGATGGAAATAAATGGTAAATAATAAGGACTTAATATGGTACAGATGGTACTTGTAGTAAATTATTTTAATTATGATTATAAAATGAATTACTTGACAGTAAAATTTCTAATGTTAAGTGTAAAATTACTTTGAAATCTAAATCAAATAGCATCTAATAGCAGTTTTAAAATTATTAAAAGGGGAAATTAATCATCAATTATTATTTTCAAACACTCCGTAAATTCATTTTTAATCAAATAACAACAAGGAATCACAGCAACAATAAACAATCCCATAGTAACTGCACGATTATTCACAATTGATGCATGAAATGGAACACTTTTAAATTGCTTAAAATGCTGCTATTTTTGCGCCTCTCTTCTAGTAAAAACGAGGGTAGTTTCGCATAGACAAAGGTGTGAGCCGCTCATTCTGAACATTCACATACAGAGTTGTACCTTCTCAAAGGGAGATTTATGGTCATCCCTGAGGGTACGTCGGCCGCACAGAGCGGGAATTTGTAGCACAAAAGAGGACTTAGGCAGCTCATAAAGTCCCAATCATTGCCTCCATAACAATGCGGTTCACGAAGAGTAAAAAAAAACAGCTCCCTTTCACAAAAGAGCGCGGCCGCGGCAGGCGCGCACTTTTCATCTTCAGGAGCAACTATGAAAGAAAAAAATCGCCTTTTCAATTTTTAATCCGATTTTCTAGAAACTTTAATCTAAAACCAATTTAAAGACAAATAAAAACAAAAACATTTTTAACTAACACTTAAACTATTCATTTAATTCGTAATTTGTTTAACGAATTTCTTATAGAATATAATATTAATTTTTTAATTATGTTTGTTTATGTTATGATCAGAAATTATATAAGTCATTGTAATAAAATTGCTTTTAATGAAAATCCAAATCGCTGTAAAATTTTAGATTATTCTAGGACATTATTTTAGTTTTCTAAATAATTTGTATGAAGAAATTATGGCGCGCAATATTTGGCACCAAGTCTCAAAAGGTCACTGGCGCGCATTCTTCATTGTTTGCACCTGGCGACCCTGAGATCGGCGAAAATTGAGCAATTGGCCGCGGCGCGAGTCTCAGGGTCACCTCTGGAAACGGTGTACCTGAAGAAAGGTAACACCCATCAGTACGGCGGCGCCGAGTGCGACTCACCTGCTGAGGAACAGCGACTTCAAACTCGATTTTCCGGCTGCCAGGGCACCGCCATGGAAGGTTAAGGGCTTTTCCGCGCCACAGGGCGTTCGAAGGGCGACGCACGATAAATTCGCGAGCAGAAGAGCGACGGCTCAACCCACACAGCACTCCTCCTCTTCAGCTGCTCGGACGAAATGAAAAGCACTCGGAACTCACGCGAAATCACTGCCACCGAAAAGAGCGACGCGCACTTTCGACCGGCCCGCTTCGGACACTCGGCTGGACACCACTGGCCATCATGTCCCGATCAGTTTCCCTCCAGTGGCTTTCACAACACGTCTGTCCGTCTGCTTTTGCTTTGGTACCACTGAAAAATGGCAGCACTCCGCTCCCCAGCGACCATGATGCATTGCGCAACCAACGAGAGCTCTTTTCGTTTGCCGCCACTCACCGCTGGAGACATCTATCGGCGCCCATCAAAGGTGCAATTAAAAGAAATGACTAAAATGTGAAAAACATTTTTTTTTACAACTCTGTGGTGACTGTGGTGGAAAATAATCAAAATCAAAATTACACTGTCAAACGAATAAATCATGAAAATAATTCAAACTTCAAACAACATCCCGATTATAATTGATTATCTAAAAAAATCAAAACTTAAAAAGCGTATTGGACTTTGTGTTAAATTGAAATGGTGTGGTTAATATACATTTAATAATTTTAATAAATTCAATAACTATCTTCATCTCAAACACAATCAACTATTGAAGATCAAATATTATCATATTGGCTCACAGCAAAGGCGGTGGTGAGTTATTTAATATTGATTTTGTCTTTGGTGAAGTGCAAATAAATAAATTCAAAACTTTGTATGGAGCGCACATAATTTAAACAAATTTATTTTGTTCACAGCAGTGGCAAAATAAAGCCGAAGCTTTAGAATTTTGTTAGTTTTCACATCATCCAAATTCAAAATCATTTAAAAACGAGCCTCAAAATTCCTTCTACTGCAAGCCAGCTGAATAGAAGAAACCAAAGACCGTTTGTTCTTGGTTCTTTGATATTAATTATAATAATATGTTAGAGTGAGTACATTAGAACATAATGTATGTAACGCACATAGGAATGCACAGGACACAATTTATAATATTTAGCTTTTCATAATTTAGATTCAACCGAAATTCAAATGCTCTGCAGATTTTCTACCCATTACTCATCGAATCCAATGCAAGAATTGGGCTAATGGACATAAATAATTATTTTCCACGATTTGGAAATTAAATGGTTGATTATTGAGTTGCACACTGCACCCGGCCCGGCCCAGGACCCATTCCAAAACCGTCTTCGTCCTCTTCGTACGCTGGTTGAGACCTTTGGCGACGGTAAGCTTCAGCCTTTGGGTCAAGGTCTTGAAGTGTGACTTCTTCAGCGCAATCGGGAATTATGGCCTCAGGTCTAAAATAAGATAAAATTCATCTTCCGACAGGATGAAGAATGTAAATTGAGCTTACGGCATAGGGAGACACTGCTCCAGACCAGGAATCTTATCAATAGGAATCTTGGTAGGGAAGTTAACGAAGAATTGAATGAGCAAACGTCCTTTCTCGAAGGGATTCTTGTACTGGGGCATGCCCTCGTTGTCAATGTACTTAATGTCGCCATGTTTGATGACCTCTCCAGGGATGGTTGAGACAACCAGTTCTCTATCGTCCAAGGTTTTGACAATTTTCTTCAAGCCGCAGAGAGCCTCAACAAGCTCAAGCTCCATGCGAAGAATTAGATCGGTTCCAGATCGCCTGAGAACATATTAAAGGGAACATTTATTTCAAGAATACTCAGATAATAATGCATGGAGTAAAGAAGAGAGATAAATTAAGGATATTTTTATTTAAAAAAATTATTGCAGCCTAAAGTTTAAATTTCCACTTTAGTTTTCCCAAGTTATTTAACTTTACAGACATAACTGATGACATCGATTGAATAAAAATACGCTCTGGAACAGTAGAAGTTATTTAAAAACCAGATTTCAATTTGTAATTTGTTTCTGAAAATCAAACAGAGCTTGCAAAATCTAAAAGGAAATGGCAAAATAAATTGCCTTTGCAAATGATAACACATAAGGGAAAACCACCACCACTTACACTTGTTAATGAGAATAATTAAAAGGAAAATGACCAGAGCAATTTATTAAATTAAAAGGGAGCGCCATAAAAGTTTAAAGTAAAACATTTCATTAGGATAAATTTTTGATAAAAAACTTACTTGAAAAGCGGATGCTCTTTTTCATCAAGAACAATGATGATGTCACCAGGTTCGAGTCCGGGCTCTTGATCACCTTCCCTGCTGAACACAATTTTCTCTCCATCACATCTGCCCTTATCAACGTGCACTTCAAGCACCTTCCTGTCCCTGACGACCTGAAAAATAAAATCTCGCTTAGTAATTCGGAAATATTTTTCTTCCAGTAACATAAAATGAACTCAAAACTCAAATAAAAAATTACCCTTCCTTACAAAATGTTAACCCACCTTCTTTCCTCCGCAGTTCTTGCAACGGTCCTTGGCAGGGATGCGCTCGCCCTGACCCTGGCAGTCTCGGCAAACAGACTGGATCTGCTGCACCATTCCGGGTCGCAGCTGCTGGATGTGCACCTCCATGCCCTTGCCGTTGCAGGTGCCGCATACCTCGACGGCGCCCTTTTTGCCGCCGCGTCCGTCGCACTTCTCGCATATGACGTTCTTCTGCAGCACCAACTTCCTCACAGCACCCTTGTACAGCTCCTCCAAGGACACACTCAGTTGGTGGATCACGTTCTTGCCGCGTCTCTCCCGCGCACGACCGCCACCACCCCCGAAGGCACCGCCAAAGAACATGTCAAAAATGTCCATGGCCGAGGAGGACGGACCACTGCCGCCCTCCTTCAAGGCCTGCTCGCCACCTTCATCATAGATCCGACGCTTTTCCGGGTTTGAAAGAACATCGTAGGCTTGGGAAATTTGTTTGAACTGAAATTTTAAAAAAGTTTTCTTATTAAATTCTAGATTTGAAATAATTTTAAATCTTTTTAGGCTTGAAAATTGTTGCAAGCCAAAATTTTAGCTAAAAACAAACACGGATAGTCCTAAATAAAAAATTTAATAAATTAAATTACAACAGAATAATCTCGGATAATCTTAATTAAAAACGCCCAATATTAACCAAATTGATTAATTTAGTAGCTATTCAAGTAAATCTCAAGTTAACAAAGTATTTTTTGGGGAAAAATCCAATTTTGTTGGCGCGTGCCAAGGTCAAAGACTGCAACATCGCCATGCAAAAAAGTCTCATTGTCTGGGAATGTTTGGTGGGCGATAAGTGAACGTACTTTGTCGCCTTCATCAGGGTTCTTGTCTGGGTGGTACTTCAAGGCAAGTTTTCTGTAAGCCTTCTTGAGCTCATCGGCGCTGGCCCCTGGCTTGACGCACAGGATATCGTAGAATCCAGTCTCCTTCACCATTTTCACCTGCAACAAGAGTCAAGGTTAAATTTGAGCACTGCCCGAACACGGCACGAGGCAAACGGGCGAGGAAACTCAGACGAATTTAAATGGCGATTTAAAGTGGATATTTGGGCCGAGGGCGACGACCCGTGGACGGTTTACCCGGGCAGAAATTACGTTTCAGTCAAAAATGCACCGAACCATCCAGCAAAGTCTAGCGGCCAAAAACCACACAGCGAACTTTTGAGAGAGGAGAGTTTGAAAAAGCGCGAGGAAAAATCGACCTCATTGTTGGGGTGCGGGTTACTCACCTTAAACTCGAGAAATGTCCACTTTTCCTAGATTTTCCCAACGCTCGCAGCAAGACGGATAAATTGCGACTGAATGTGAGGTACCTAGACTTTGAGATCGTGGTAGCAAATTCGAAATTATACTTGAAGTTTCTAGAACTCTAATCCCGACACGGTACCAGACCTGCGACCAGCCGCCTCGTGCGACATCTGCTTGGCAACGTAGTGTATCAAACTGCTAATAGATGGCGTACGAAACCAAATTCTGGGTCAGTATGGATTTCTATCAAATTCATAAAATAAAAAAAATAAGTCATGAAAATTATTCCAAAAAATGTGTTATGTATTTATTTTATAATTATATAAATTATAGAACTGTAAAAAATTTGTAGCAGTAGTAAATTGCACGCCGTTTAAAGTATTTTTTATAATTTTTTGTTCTAGAATTTTCAAACCCGATTCGGAAGCGACAGCGCGCGAACGCCACGTGGCGGCGTTCTCCAATACTAACGTGGTGCTCACCGAGAAAAAGAAACTCACGGAGAATGATGTCACGCGGAGGAAGGCCGGGCCGGCTGTTTAAATGGTAAACACAAACTCACGTAGCAAAAGACAAAATCAAGAAGTTCGAAATGACGAGGCTATTGAGTGAGTTGCTGGCCAGTAGCAATGGCCGGGACAAAATCGTCCGGACCATCAGCTATGCCTCGCTCTGTGTATCTGGCTTGACCTCGGAGAGACACGGGCAGCTGGCGAAAAAGTTGGAAATTGTGAGTTCGCAGCTAAACCACTTCCGGACTGTTTCGCGGCTTTTCGATGACTTGGCCATGCTCAAATACAGTCTCACTTATGGCCTTGGACGTGAGGTAGCTAAATTGAAAATTATAATTAATAATTATATCTAGTTGTAAAGTTTTCATTTTTTAATACTATTGCAGGAATTTTTTTAAAAATATTATAAAATTAAAGTATTTAATTTTTTTTTTAATTGTATACCTACTTTGTTTAAATCGTACGTCCCGGTACGTCTCTGCAAGTCTGGAATCATAATATTTTATTAATTTTCTTTTGCACATATTTACATTACAATGAAATTTATAAAGTCGAGAGAGATGTAGATATTTTCTTTATTTAGGATTTATATTTTTATTAAAAAAATTTATTAAGACGACAAAAATTTAATTTTTCGTTTTATTAGCATAAAATTGTGATATTCTTTTAAATTTACAGGAGAAAGACAAAATTTTGAGGATCTTAGGCATTCTTTCAAATATCGTGGATCAGCTGTATTACCCTTTGGAACATATAGCATGGGCTGCTGATAGCAAGCTGATAACATTAAAAAATGGGTCCGACTCTTGGTGGCTAGCAAGCACAACATGCTGGTGTCTTTCTTTGTACTTCCAACTATTGAGGTAGGGCTTCTTTAATGCTTCAGAACAAATTAAATTAAAGTGTACTGCATTTTTCTAATAGAAAAAAACTCATTTAATTCTTTTACAGAGCTCTCAGACTGTTTTCCAATGCTCAAAAGGCTCTCAAAAATTGTCAAAGTGATGAAAGAAGGTAATTTTTTCTAAAAATAAAATATAAATTATTTCATATAATATTTAAATTCTAGATATTTTCATATGAGACATATTTATAATGAAATTTAAAATAAAAAAATGTATTTGATTCAATTAAATTTTTTTCCTCAACTTATTGCAATACATGTATATTATGATATCATATTATATTTATAAAAATTAAATATTTGATTGATATTTTTTGCTTTTATTTTGTATTCATTTAATTCATTTTTTAGAGCGGCAACTTTAAGGGCAAATCAGCGGGGCTACCTGTTGTTGGCCATTCAAGCAACGGTTGATCTAGGCCACGCTGTGCACTGGTTGCCAGAGGGCTTCCTATGGGGTGGCAAAGTGAGCACCTGGAAGAGAGGCGTTCTTGGGACTGTCAGTTCGCTCATCGGTCTCTACACGGCTGTGAAGGTGCTCAACAAGAAATAATTAGCGAAGGGCGGTGTGTGGCGAATCAGAGAGAGAGAGAGATTGAGTTGATGAGCAGTTCATTCATGCAAATCGTTAATATACAACCACTGCCTGTTTAATTGGGCAAAAATTGGGAGTGAAAATGAAAGCTTCAATTTGCTTGAGAGGCTGACAAAAAAAATTAAAAAAATTTTTAATGCTTGCTTAAAATTTTGAAAGTAGAAGAGATTTTTATCGAGTTTCATTTTATTTGTTTTAATTATTAATTGCGTCAAGCATGATTCATTTTCCGTGATATTTGAGCATTCTATAACACAAATTAATTGTAAAATGTAAATATTGATAAAATACACCCAACATGAAGATAAGAACCTTGTTAAATGAAATTTTTTAAACTGACACTATAGGAATATAAAATATAATTGACTTTCTTCATAAATATAAATTTAATTCTCTAAATCTAACTCAAGTAAGCTGTTAAGACTGAATTCTTGAGCTTTGAATGATAAATTTTTTTTTTAAATTGAGAGGGATTTTTGTCTTGACATTCCGCCCGTTCTAATAATTGTTACCGTTATTAAAAGTTTTAAATTGTTGCTTTTTGTACTAAAAATAAATAAAACATCGAGTTCCTTGATCTCTTTCAACTTCATTGTATCTTTTCCTGTAGATAATTTAATTATAAAGCCATTTTCAAACGTTGTCATCGCAGCGTGAGAGTACCAGCGTCTGTCTGGTCACAATTGTGACACTCGCTGCCTTTCCTTAAAGCAGATTTGCATCAGCGGTCCAACAGTCGCGAATTTTAAAGTGACTGGTGTTTAGCTCATCCGATCGTTTGGTTCCGGATGATCAATAGGAAGCGCATATAATAGAAAATTACAAGGTTCGCTCTCTAAACCGCCGCCGCTTTTGATGCAGATTATTGAATGTTCTCGCCCGCGAGCCGATGGAGCCGCCGCTAGTCGGTCATCCGCGGCTCTTTCGGGGGTGGGAGCAGAGCAATTAAAAGGTATGCAAGCTACCGCAAATTGATCAGTCGGTGTTCATCTTTGTGGTGTTCCGGTGGTGGCGAGCTGCTTTTCATCTTCATCATTGACCAAAGGTAAATGACAATCGACAATTTTACATTTAAACTGTTCATACATAATATCAGATATCACGCTAAGTAATTCTTCATTATTAAAAGTTAAAGACATTGTATATTGTATTCAATGACTAGCAAGAGAGTCATGTAATTAAAAAATACATCATTAAAACTATAATATTACTATTATATTTATTTATGTAATCTGAGAAAAAGTTTTGAATGAATCTATTTATGAGATTTTGGCTTAAAGAAGTATTTACATTTAAAAAAAGTTATATTATAATGATCTTTTTTAGGGTCAGGCTGACAAGGTCTTGTGTAGGCCTGTGCTGACCCGTGCAGAAGGCACCACCCAATTTTTTTTTCATTTGTTTATTATTTTTTTGGGGTTCAACATAATGAAAAAAAAACATCATTTTTTGCTGGCATATCCTTATTTTGGTCGACGATGATTAAGAACAAGGCTGAATAATTATTTATTTAAAATTAAAAGCTTTAATTGGGTTACATCTTAGCTCATAGCATTGTATATTACAAATGAATTGAAATTTAAAATAAAATTAAAATTATGCATTTTAAATAATTTCTTCAATGCTAGTTATTTGGCTCAATTCTAAATGAAAAATATTAAAATATATTAGGAAAAATATAGCTTATGGGTATAGCAGGGTGTTGACGATTGTTTTTAAATATTAGAGAAAGAGAATAATAAGTAAAATATAAAAATTAATTTTGAATTTTCAGCACATATAATGTTTGCCTGTGTAAAAAAAAACTTTAAAATATACCCAGCAAGGAATAATTCCCTTTCTTTTGTGATAAGCATCAACACGATTCGCGAGATGCGAAATGAAGCGTGCAATAAAAACTTGAGCTATTGGCGATAATTGTCGCTGTTTTCACGCCTCTCCCGCTTCTGATAAAATGCACTGCGACTTTCCCTTGCCGATGGTGCACCACCGAAAGTACTGTAAACAAAGCTCGTCCGTTCAAGCCTGTGATGGCCCTTTGTTTTTGGCACTGAAAGTGAAACTTTTCTTGCGCTCCGCACGGTTGCACCTCACATGAAATATTATGAGCTTTTGTCAATCTACCGTGGCATCTGCAGTGATTTTTAAGAAAGATTTTTAAACATTATGCGGGCAAATTTTATGGAAAAAAAAATGAAAGCGAAATCTGTTGCTTTTTCGGCACGCTTTATTAGAGTACATTCATTTTTATTTCTCTTGGCGCGCGTGAGAACAAAGAAAGAATGGTTCATAAACCACTTCCGCGAATGAATTAATTAATAAAAATTATGTGAATTTCAAGGACGTCTTGGTTGGCTGAAATTGAAGAGGGAGCGATAATAATATTTAAATTTTAACTTTGTCGTCACATTATCAAATAAATAGTTGATTTTATTTCATTAACATTACTACTATTATTCAACAACTAATGGAATTCAGGGTTTAAAATAAATAAATTTACGCAAAAAAAAAATGTATTTTTTAAACCTAACTCTCGTTATGAATACATTTTAAAATAAAGGTAAACTTAATATCATTTATCGTCTTTTCTGTTGATCAAAAAGTGGGTATTTCTAGTTCCTTTTTTTTCTTTAATAGTTTTTTTTTTGTTTCGCCCTTTCTTTCCGCAGTTCATTGATTTTATTAAAAATTGAGATTTCAGTCAGAGCAAAGCTCGAAGCGCTTTAAAATCTAGAAAATAAGCTTTAAAATTAAGTGAACGAGCCGCCTCAACACATGATTTAACGCCGCGCAAGCCGAGTTTTTTCGTTTTGCTCTTTTTTTCCCGCAGTTTATTGCTATGAAAAATAGAACACTCATTTTGTTCGCCCATTTTCAATTATTTGGTCAAAGGAAGAAAAGATAGGCTTAATTATTTTTTAGGCTACTTAATCTTAGTCAAATATATAATACATACAAAAATGAAAATGTGAGGAAGTTTAGATCACTAATTTTTTTTTTATAAAATTCGAATAGTTGCTTTGCTTTAAAAAATACTTATAAAATGGTATTAAAAGATCCCATGGCCCATGGCCTTTATAGCCTTTTCATGCCATTAATTTTTATTTTTATTTTTTTTTTTGCTGTATGAAAATTTAAATAACGTTTAAACTTTCATTCATAAATTCATAAGGGACAATCATGACAAGCAAAAATAAATATAAAATAACCGAAAAAAAATTAAATTTGCTTTTCAGCATTTTATAATTGATTATATATTTTTAAAAGATAATGAGACTACAAATTTAATTGGAAAATTATTATTAATTACTTAGATGTCAATGCTATGTTCTGAATTGTTTTTAAACAGTATACAAAGGCCGTGGCATTGGCAAATCGAGCACATGTGTAAGGAACTGACGTGAGACGCTTTCCATAAATTCTGGCGTTTCAAATATTTGGCATGCAGCCGCCAAACCTAAAAAAGGAAGCGAATAGTGTGTCCTTTGATGCCGGCGGCGAACTTAACAAAATAAAAACTCTTCCCACTTGTGCTTTCATTGAATACCTCCGAGTGACCCACTGACCTCCTCTGGCGCTCTCGTGTGTTTGATTAATATACAACAATCGCGCTCGAGCCTCAATCAGAGCCGCGGCACATCCTCTTCGTGTGTATAATTTCGCTGCACCCTTGCCGCACCTTATCGCGAACATCATTAACCCTGACTCGGTTATTATATTTTCTGCGAAGATGAAAGCGGCGGTCTTAAAATATAATTGTGAAACGATGAGAGGAAAAGTCAAATATTTGTTTGCCCTTCACGCGTGCACTATCGGATAGATACGAATCTGGAGTGAAATTATATATCCTGTGCTTGTGTTACAAACTCGGTGGCAGATGAAAATAATGTAGTAACAAGGTCGAGCCCACATATGCGCCGACAGAGACTAAAAATGACACGAGGGCGTATTGTGGAGGAAAAAACAGCGCACCAAGGCATTCCGCCCCGTGGCCGCCCATTTGACGCTTGTTTGCCATGCACTGCCATGGGGTAATTCACACTCTAATTAACGCACAGCACGCCTGCTACGAAATTGCAAACATGAGGGACAACAACAAACAGACCATCGGTTAAATTTGAAATTGAAGTCACTTTTGCTCGATTTTTTTTTTAATCAGCAGAGAATTTTTTTGAAATTTCTTCTAAAAATTGTAGCTGCAATATGCAATTTGTCAGAAACATAAATATATTATATTTTAATTTAATAGTCCAATAGTATAAGTTTTCAATTTTTGATTAATAATTGAATTTTTAATTTAAAAAAAAAAAAAAATTATTATGGAAGGTTTCTGCAATTTTCTAAATACCAATTTTGTTTGATATATTTTGCTTTTTCATGATTCAGAAGAACAAACAAAATCTTTTATATAATTATTACAAATAAAAAAAAACACACACACAAACAATAAATAATTTAAAACAAAAATAGGCTTCAATAGATCCAAATTTGTTTAAAAAGAAGGAGAGGTATTAACATAAAATAACTTTACGGTATTGCATGTATTATTAAGTAAACATATTTAACAAAATTAAAAAAGCTCTGATTATAACAGGATAATATATTTCTTTAATTCATTGTTCATATAAATTTAATTTAATTTTTCCTGCAAATAATATCAATAAAACATTTGATGTGCAACAAAACATCTGCCATCAAATAAATAATTATACACATCAAAATAAAATTGAAAAGAAAACTGAAAATAGCCCTATTATTTTGCCTTCTTGCTAAATGACAAGGCATAATGCCGTGAAGATTTAATTATGGCGATAAACATTATTTTGAGCACTTCCTTTTCTGCCGCAACAAATTCTGCTCAATGACTAAATGCATGCGGGGCCTCTCAAGCGTTAGGCGCATTCACTGAATTGCTTCAATCGCGCACACCACACAAGTGGAAAGTTCATTGTGTGCTATTTTCTTTGTTCTTTTCAACGGCTTGAAAGAGAAGCCAAGAGAGCAGGAGCCGCGAAAATTGCTTTAATTATTTCCCCTGTCCTTGAAACGACTCATGAATTACACGCCATTAAAGAGGAAAAAATAAATGACACGCTGAAGCGACCCGCATCTTTTCTCCCTGTTTTGAAGAAAAGAGCCTCTATGCTGTCAACGCAAAACCTTGGTGCCCAGCATAATAATGTCATATTATTCAAAAGTTGACTATATTGTGTAATTTAATGCTATGCCCAATGCACGGAAACATTCAAAAAAGCACCTCGATATATATACACTTCCTGTAAAAAAGAGAGTAAAAGTCTGTTGTAAAGAAATTTCATTAAAAAGCGCAGCGGAGCTTTTAAAAAAATAAGAGTCCTTCAGTGAATTTTTATTATCTCATAGTCCATAGTCCCGACGAGATGTCAAAATACGTGAAGAACGCCGAGATGCTTTATTCATGTCCAGCGGCAAACTTTCCCCAGTACAGGCGGAAATATTTAAGTCTGATTCTTTTATATTTACCAGAACAACTATGAACGACCAATTAGAGCGAGCAGTGATTTAATTCTCTATGCTTACTTCATTGGCAATCAGTAACAACTAAATGTTGCTTTTTTCTGGAATAAAACTTAATTTGCTATGCAGTGAGGAAAATTCTCACAGTCACCTGTGACTAATAAATTTTAGTACAAAGAATTGCTTTTTAGAGGAGATTAAATATACAAATTGTCTCTGCAGGATATCGTGTCTCCAAAAGTTTTGTTAGTTCCTTGTTCCTCATAATGAGTCATAATGTGTTTTGTCTTTTCCGTTAGATATTATGCTATGCTGAAATTATATTCAATTTGTATTATAACCTCCTTGGTATAAATTTCTGAAGTAGGGATTTATTTCTAACTTAAAAAATGAATAGGATTATAATTATAATCCACTACGATTAATTTTATTGCACTGATCAGCAAAAAAAAAAAAAAAAAAAAAAATACAATTATCAAAATGTAAAAAATATTAAATAACTTCACAGTTTTAAATATTATTTTGTGGATAATAAGGATATCATTTTCTTACAAAACAAACCACCATTTTTAGTTGCAAATTTCAGTCACAAAAGCAATTGCTGAGCCCATATTAACGATGCGGCATTAAATTAAAATATAAATTTAATGATGAAAAAGTCTTACATTAATACCTAATAACATATCTTATACTTAAAAAATTGTATTACACATTAATTCCGATTAATTCCATTAATTGTTTATGTAAATAGACCACTTTGTTTTAAAAATTATTTAAGAATTAAAAATTCGTCCGAGCTAAGCAAATTGATGTTTTTTGTTAGTGTCTGTTGTTTTTTTATAGAAGTAAAATTCTCCTGGAGATGGCAAGATGGGGCTATAATTAAAATGCACCTGCAGCTGACAATGAACGATAAGAATAGGCGCCCCTAGCACATGTACCCGCTGTTTACTCCTCTGTAGTGTGACTCACGGCTGTACTGGGGGCGGACAATGGAAAAATCAGGGGTAAAGCTGAATCACACCATCCAAGAGAGAGTGGGTGCGCGTTTTTTCCTCTCGGCAGGTAGAAGAGCAGCGCGCCGGAGAACACCTGAGCGCGTGCGCAGCATTCAAGGCAGGCATCACGGTGAATGCCTTTCTGGTGTTGCAGCCCATGGATTTTATTCTGTGCGCGGCGCCGAGCGAGTGAAAATATATCCAAAACAAACTGCGAGGCCACATCCATTTTCAACTCTCCCGGGTGTTTTCAGCTTGAAATTCGAATCTGCAACTTCAGCCGTCGGTGTGATCTGAGGTGTCCGTGTTTTTCGGATTTGAAAACGGTGCAGTTTAAAGTGATTCTGGTGATTTCAACTCTCGTGCGCAACAGGCGACCGGATTTCGCCATTCGTTCCGCCTCTCTGGACCATAAAACGTCGATTTGATGCTGGCCTCTGGAAATCACGGTGAGAAAATCGCATCTGATAATTCGAATTTGAACCTCTGTTGAAGAACATTATTTCATATTAGTCACTTCGGGGCTTTCCCTTGGAGCTTGAATCGGCTGGGTGGTTTTCGAGTTTAGGTCGAGGTCAGCTTGACTCTTATTCATCTCTCGCTCAATAACATTTCCGTCTTTCGACGGCCAGTCTCACTTTTATATTTATCTCGCGAAATCCTCCCCTGTTTAGATAAATTTCACCCGAATCAAGTTTTGATTTTTAATGTGGGAGGATCGAGTGAGGCGCTCGATCACACAGGTGAATTCCACACTCGCATTTAAAGTGCACATCCTGCTGTTTTGGTCGCGGTGACGTCACTCTCATCTACCTGCAGGCCTGCTATTACCAACTCAAATCACGGCTCATCCACACAAATAATATAACGTCGATTCCTGGTGAAATCGACACACAGATACGAAAGGCGGACGTGATTAAAATTTGTCATATTTTTAATTTCCTAGTAAAGTAAGGGCTTTTAAAAGATTCCAATGGAGACATTTTAAAGTTAAAAAGATTGGTAATTTTTAATTTCTACAAAAAAAAAATTAGATTCACTGCCAAGATTTTGTAAAAAAATGACCGTCAAATATATAGTTAGATGCTTGAATAATTATATAGATTAAAGAGTGCAAAGTTTTCCTAAACATGTATTAACTATCTTTAACTATTAATTAATGCAAATTGTTGCCTTAAAATAATAAAATAAATTAAAATTACTTTGCTCAACCTACGATGAAGTAATAAATATTTATAATGTGTACAATACGTTTTTAAAATATATATATATTTCATTTATAATTATTTATACTAATAAAAAATAATGGTTGAATTTTTATGTATAATAATTTTTTTTTAATTTTTATTTAAATTTTTTTTGTGTGTTACAATTATAAAAAAGAACAATAAAATATAATTTAATTTGGTACGGCATTATAAGTAAAAATAATTATTTAAAAATTATAAAGTAAGCATGACGGTATGTACAAAGCTTGTACTATATAGCAGTGACTAAATTATTTATTAATTTAATAATTAAAATTAAACTCGTATCTAAATCAATTGTTAGGCTCTATTCAGGTTTCATAGTGTTCGAAAATATATTTTGAAAATCAGTGTCATCTTGCATAGATACAAGACAAGTGCATTTGAAATCTAGGACTCCGTAGGACTCCTTTATAAACGTGATTCATAGATCTAATTTTATTGCACTGATTGCAATTTTCCGTCGCTACAGAAGCCATAAAACGCCCATATGTATACGCAAACACGATTTCCCCACCGGCTGAAAGATGTAATACGCTGCTGATTTCGCGCTCTGCTGCTGAAATGATCTGAATAACGGGAAACGCCGACTGTGAGTACACATCGGCGCATAGTACCACAGCCATGATTCGCATTACACGGAGCTGTCTGTCGAGCTGCTCTCTGTTCTGTGTCAAATAAGTTGCATCAGGGCGTGGGCGTTGTTTGGGAAAAAATATATATAAAAAACGGCATTGTATTCGACTGCACGGTCACAAAATTTTTAGGTCTCGTGACTCGACGCTTATGTCACGAACGGCGCGGGCAATACCGTTCTCCTCGATCTGCATGAGCAAAATTCGTGTCGCACTCTCCTGGATAGCAAAATAAACGTGTAGAAATAAAGATGATCTCTAAGCGCGTGCTGTGATTAATGGTGGCCCTGAGTAATAGACCGTGAACAAACATATTTTCTTTTATTCTACTAACTGATAAGAAAAATATTTTTTGAAATCTCATTTTCCTAGAAAAAATAGGAAATAAAAAAATGCAGAAATTAAATGTTCAGATTTTTTATGAAGATGTAGAGTTTTTTTTTATATAATGATATAAAAATAGATAATTGTTGAGGCATTAAAAAAATTAAGACCTTAATTAAATAATAATATTTCAGTATATCATCCTGTTATTTCAATACGTAAAAATTTCAATAAAACCATATTTTCCCGTCTTAAAAAATTTACTAATTAATTATTTGGAAAAATATTGTTTTGTTTCATTTGCAGATTTTCATTATTTTTTAAATGATATTGATCTTTTTTGTCTTATCACAATGTAAACCTTAATCTTTTTAAGTTAAATTCACGCAAGGTCTTTTCTTAAGCCTACAAAAGCTGATCCATAATTGAATAAGTATTGTGTTAGTTAATGAGTTTTAAAACCCTTGGGCCGCCTTGGGCACAGTCATGATGAACCAAATCTTCTTTCGTCTGTAGATATGGCTGTTACTTTGTTATTGTCACGAGCTCAAAGGGATGTGTTTGGAATTCACGCTTCCAAACAATTGGGTAATCGTGGCGTTTTAAGCATGGATAAGTGCGAGCGGCTTACGCAACACTCACGGCATTAACGCTACTGCATGATGATAAAAGGAATTAGCTCGGTTGCAAAGTGCGTCTTCTGCATGAGTATTGCTTTTAATACTCGCAACATAATTCCCAGCGCGAAATTCACCCAAGGCTCCTTACATAAAAGTGAAAAAAAAAACTCCCACAGCCCATTTCGTGAGAGACATAATCAGCATAAAAGTGAAATTATTTCGTTAAAAAAGTAAAGGCTCAACCTTTGGACTTGATTATAAATTAAAATGGTCAGAGTAAAAAACGTTCATAAATTACGAATAACGCAGAAGGCTTAATTAATTTATTTTTATTATTGAGTTTACAAACAAGGATAATCACGGTTGGCACGCTTGAGCTCATTTCAATCACGCTTGGCGGATTGCGACGATTTTAAATCATTTTTCTTTATTTCTTTTCTATTGTCGCGTACAAAAATCAACACTTTCCACCGTTTGCAAGTGCGCGCTGGAACGCTTCCTTAAAAGGCGATGGAGGACATCGGTGTCATGCTCCACAAGTCTAGATTGAAACCTTTGTTGCTTTTCATCTTGAGAGCTCCTAATCTCTGGCGATTATGCAATTAGCCCTGAACTGGCGCCTCACAACTAGCTTGTGAGGAAAAGAAAAGAGGCGTGGTGAAAATTATACACACATTTAAATGCACTGCTCAGGCATTCCAAACAAATTGCTAACTGCGTTTCCAGGTCATTAATTAAACAGTGACATTGTGAACGTACATGATGCTATATAGGTGTCTCTTTGTTCACATGACGCAATATCAATTCATTTAAGTGTAAAAGTGTTTTTTAATACAATTGGTCAAATAAATTTGTCGAGAGAAATGGACGCTCTAGAAGTTTGCTGGGTAAATTCTGGCTGGAAAATGTTCAATAAATTTTGGATATTAATTTATAAAATATAAAATGGAAAATGAGGAACTAGTAAGTAAAATCGCAAATATGATATTAATTTTTGGATCCATTTTTAAAATTCTTTTTTTTAAATTTTCATTTCTTTTTTATAATAAAACTTTTAAAGTTAAGTTAATTTAAATTGTTTTACCGGTTGAAAGGATATCAATAATCGATTGTTGGTCAACAAAAGCAATGTGACCAGAACGGTTTAGCTTCTTGGCCCAATCACCACTTAATTGCAACTGAGGTGCAAGTCAGGACAAATGCCAAGACACGTCCATTATTCAGCAGGATGCAATTGAGCTAGATTTTCATCTCTTACCAAATATACAAACCTCTGGCCAACTTCAAGAAGCGAAATAGCTTTTCTCCTGCGTGACACCAATTCGCATCACTAATGAACCAACTATAGGGACACAAATAATTGTGGAATAAGTGAATAAGTAATCATATAATCATAGAGAGATGCATTTCAAATAAAAATAAAATATTGCCTCGCGAAGTAGAAATCGGAGAGGAATTAAATCAATTAAATTGTTTCACAGTCGGCATTGGCCAGAGAAAATTGAGTTGAATTGAAGAGACGAGCCGCAAATGAGCCAATCAAAGCAACAATTATCGGAAATATTTCCTAATTGGTGGATGATCCAGATCTTCAATGACCGCAATTATTCAAGCGTGCCAGTGATTTTCTCAATTAAGGATATTGATTTTTGCACGTAACTTGCAAATATAAAAATTGAGCTGCTGGAGTTTGAAGAAACTTGTGAAACACATTCTGAAATCATGCTTCAATGATTTTCATGAATAAAATTGGCCTTTCATTCTAACGCAAATTACACATGTGAACAAAAGATCAATTCAAACGGAGTAGTTTCTCCTTAATTTTATTCAAATCTGGAGCGCGCCAGTTGGTGGAAATTATACACGCATAACTGCAGGATTCGCTAATCACGATGGAGCAAAAGTCGGCGCCCGCTTTGTTTGTGTTTGCTCTGCGCATTATATATTGTGTTCTCTCTCTCTCTAAAAAGGATGACACGCTTTGCCGGTCTGCCGTGGAAAGTTTCGAAAATCGTGATATTATTCATTCGCACAGGCAAATAGTAAGAAAAGGCTTTCCTCCTATGAAAGCAATTGTTTTTTTACTTGATGAGTCGTCTGATTGTTTGTACTGCAGTTCAAGATGACGGGCGTTGGTGCTTTTGCTGCTTTCTCGGGCGGTTTTATGTCAAGTCACGTTGCGAATATTGTTCACAAATTGTTGCAACGCCTCTTTGATCTCTATACGGAAGGAGAGTACAATAGAAATCTCTTTTGCAGATCTGTCCATAAGACAAAATTATATGTAGCCGTAAGAAAATGAAAGATTTGCAAAACATTTTGTTACAGAAATTCTTTTTAAGACAGTCCATTTGCACAAGAATTATTGACAAAAAAATTAGCTACAAATTCAATTTCTTCCAAAACTTTTATTCTACAACAATGACCTATGTTTTTGTTGCTCGCATTGTTACTGTTTCATTGAAGTTGTTGATAAATGACTGTGCAAGTATGCTGATGTTAACAGTTCCAGATGCGAGGGCCTGTAAAAACATATATAAAGTCTTTTTCTTATATTCATCTTAAAATTTTTAATTTAACCAAAAATAAAAATTCTCGATTTAAGTCAAATATCCCAGATGCT